CTGAAGTAACTCCCATTAAGTCAAGTGAAGCTCATTTCCAAGTATGTGCATATAGCGTTACAGCCTGCAGGTTCTTCAATGGATCTGTTTTGTGAAAGTTAGCCCGTGATTATGTATAGGTAACAAATCATTCACTCTAGTGATGAAATCAGCTCATTACTACACTTTTGGAAAAGCTAGTGCCCATATTCTGCGATGATACTATGCTTGGATTAAAATAGTGAATAATTGTGCAGCGTGGTTGTAATGTGAAAAGAACTTTTTGGGTTGTGCTTATTTTTGATATTAATGAAATTTCACAAGATTCCATTTATTCCTGGCTGTTATAATATGGCATTAAAGCTATGTGGTAATTAATAGAAATTGACCATTATCCCTTTCCCTCTCAATACCTACTGGTGGTTTTTGTTACCTAGAAGCTTAAACTTGGTTACAATACACAACTACAATTGTACTTAGGCAAGAAAATCTATTTTAAGAACCCAATTATGGGACAATTCAGCAAGCGATTTCGCACATAAATTCAAGCAGCTGAAGCCACCAACCCCTATATATCTTATACGGTCCACTGGATGATGGTTAAAAAATAAAGTGATGTCAGGGAGGCTATGACACATTGAACTCAAGACTTAAATCACTAGAGCTCTCCAGCATCTTTATTGTATGAACTGAACTTGGATATGCTGCCTCTTAAAGATTCACAGTCAATTATTATTGATAACTTTTACAGTTATGTGATAATTCCAATATATAGTGTAATTATGGAGATGTTAAACAAAGTTCTCGTGAATGACTTTCAATGGCTATTTTGCTAAGCAGTAATATTGGCACTGAACCTGGTAATGAATTACATAATCACAAGAGTAAGAATTCATTATTGAAACAATAAGAAGTATTAATGGAGCTTTCATTTACACATATGAAACAGGTGTTTCATTTACAGAAATAGACGTCTTTACAGTAAAGCTGATAAACATTCACGCATATTCCTTTATCAACCCAAATGCAAACATTTAGAAGTAAAGTTTCATTACATCCAAACGCACATGTTTATTAGGGCTCTGAGAGATTGATGGACTTACTAAAGTTTTTAAGAAGCGAGCCTGCTTTGCAGAGCTTGCACAAGTCATGTTCCAAAGAAATACTACTTTCAGTCATTAATGATTAGCACAATATATGAAATTATGGTATAAGCCTCATGCCAGAGAAGTTAGCGGAAATGTTTAGCAATGGTTTAATTGAGTTAGGATTGTACCCTTGGCAGGTACTGACAAACAAGCAAACTTCAAAATTAGTGGGCTTCTTTTAGCAGAGCAAGATGCATTAAAAGAGAACTATCTAAAGTTACAATCCTGTGCACAGTTGGACTGCTTATATGCTATTGACTTCAGTGACTGCAACCCTAAATCTTCATCCATTTTTCTGTTATTTCCATATATATATATGGAAATAACAGAAAAATGCAGGTGTGTTCACTTTCGTAAAGGCAGAGGCATCATAATTCATTTTCAGATTACTTCATTTATAATGGGCTCAAATACAGCTCGTTACAGCTTTTATTTTGCATTTCCAAATATTAGGTTTCATTTCAACACGTTATCCCTGCAAGAAAAGGAACAAATTGGGAAGTTAGTAGCAGTATTCTTGTATGCTTAATAAGAAGCATATCAGGTTTATCAGATTTGAAATATGCATAGAACCTTGAACCTGATTCATTTTGTGAATCTCTCTCTCTCTTTCTTTTTTGTTTCACTTTCTCAAGTTCTCCACTGCTTAATTTAGAAAGAAACTTCAAAGATGCAACTGACATCTTTGAAGCGTCGTACGGAAACGGAATCTGAATAGCCCTTTTACAAAGGCTCGAATCCAGGATCTAACAAGGCTCAAAAAGCAAATGACCCTGCTACTGCTCCTTACTCAAAAAGGGTCAGACAGAGTTTTGCATTTACAACACAGCTAACTTTGAAATTCTTCCATATGATATGGAATATTCCGTTATAATGAGTGCCATGATTGTTAGCCTGCTGTTTAGAATTTAACAGAGAATTTTAACATCAGCCAATTTAAAATGCACATCTCATCAGAACCTGAACTGGCTCATAACATGGTTGCTTTCCCTCTATAATCCCATCTCTTTTCTTGCTTCGAACGAGCCTTCAAAACGAGATAAAGAGGAGATCATTTAAACAAGGCCAAAGGAAGCAAAACTGGTCCTGTCAGCCAAGAGAAGGTGCATGTTCCTGGCTCAATATTCACCTCTTGAATAGATTTCATTGCCATTTGTCTTGACATAAGCAGCCAGATTCCGCTGCTCTTTATTTTTCAGAACGCAGAGCCTGAGACCACACAGCATTGGTGCTTTTTTTTCCCCTTTCCAAGCTAACTGTACTTAAACTTTGTATCTGATCAACTTAAGTGTATTGGATTTGAAAACAGTTAGTCAATTGTTTTCAGTCCCTAGGTGGTGGTTTATGGTAATGTTTGCATCAATACTAACAAAAGCCATACTGCAGTACAAAGTACATCAAGGAAATGAAAGACAAGGCTGCCTGTTGTCAGCTCTGTCTACAATAAAGGCAGGATTCAGGACTAGGGCAGAGATCGTTACAGAACCACAAAAATGAATGAACCACAGAAACCAGAGGGATGATGGTTCACATCAAAGGTGTGGGGACTGGCTAATGGACAAGGTTGCACACAGGCCACAAGACATGTAACCTGGGCTCATCTGGCTACACAAAAAATGTCACAAAGGGGGAAGAAAAATATACATGAAAACATCCCGATATGGTCTCATAGAATAACCATGAGAGCTGAAGGATGCTGTTCAGCTGGCTGTTTAAGGGAAGCAACCCATCCTCTTCAGCGAGAGGATATTTGTTTTTGACTCTCTGATGTTTCTTGAATTTCAGGGTGGGATTACAGGTGCAGATATTTGAAATGATCTGAAGCATAAGTAGTTAATTGAAGCATCCTGCAGTTCAAACATTTCTCAAGACAATTTATTAATTCCAAGTAGCTTTACATGTAGAAAAACATATTTTTGTACTTTAAAAAAGCCCAAGCAAACGTGCAAACAGAGCAATCACAATAATGATAAAAGAGTAGGGATATATATATATATATATATATATATATAATTTCTCACTTGTCTGGGCCTTATCATATATAATTTAGAAGAAAACAATTAAAGGAACTAAATGCTGCAATAATATGACATTCATACAATGGCATCTATTAATATAAGGCAGTAGTTATCCTTTATTTGAAGCCTAACCTCTGGATACCTGCTGTGCTGCTAGATGCGAGAATGTCAGAGAAAAATAAGTGAAAGCATATCTCGTCATGGGGTAAATTGCCTGTTGAAAAGAATTGTGCTTAGTTTCTCATTTGAATGCCGCTTTCTGCAAAAAAAAAGAAAAAAGAAAAAATGAAAAAAAAAGAGGGGGAAATAGGAAGGATTGTTATCAAGGTACAGACTAATCTTTTCTGGCCAAATGAGAGTGAGAGAGAAAGGGGGGCGGTGAGGATATTCATTTGAACAAAAGATGCAATCCAAAAGGAAAGGGGGAACAACATCTCTCTTCTCCTTTGTGTTATATTCCTATTTCAATATACGTGAGGGTTTGTTTTTTGGTTTGTTAGCATCAGTGGACGAGTTGCAAGAACTATAGCAAAGTTGCAAAGCTAATAAGAAACACAGAGCACAGAGAAACCCTGAACTTTTATTTCATGATTGGAGATATTCTTCACGTCTCATTAGAAAGATTCATATAAGGAACTTACACACAGATACAAAATAATGACATTACAACTGCTTGAAGTGTCTTGTACCAGACATTGTGCTATTAAATGGTACACAATATTTCACTGTCCATTCAATCCTCAGCTAGGAAAAACAACAACAAAACAACAACATACATACACACGTCATCACTAAAATAAAAATAAGTATCTGGCTGTAGCAAGCTTTTTAATTAACAGTGTGGGTGAAGTAAAATAACTTAATATTGCCAGATATGCTATATATAATTTCACATCCTCCTCCCAATGTTCTAAGCCAGTAGATTTCAGAACTATAAGCTCTACAGTAAATAATGATTCTCTTCATATCTGATATATAATGAATCTCAACTTTAAGCAGATGATATCAAAAGAAATATCAGTAAGTTAATACTAAAGAATACAAGTCAAAAATAACACAGACCCTGAAATAACCATCTTTACTTGACCTACCTTATCTGTTGCAAAATGCAAAGTCCCTGGAGAGGCCTTTGACTAATTTTCCTAGTAAAGTCTTCAATGACATATAACCATCAAGAACTGAATTCACAACTTAGCCATTTTACATAGACTATCATTTTCAGGTTATAGAGGTTATATTAGAACTTCCCAATATATACTGTGCAAGGAAGCAGTTTTATTTTCAAACAAAACCACCTGCATTTAATTCACAGCATCACCCCAGTATTGTCTATATATCTATCGATAAGCACAAAGTTCATAATTTTGTTTTCTAGAAAGTAGTCGTCGTTTGTAGTTCTTAAATTGTATCAAACAGTTATGTTAAAATATTGCAGTGCTGTAATCTTTAAATAACTTTTTAAAAAGCCAGCCCACTGCAGCAAATTAAACACCTTGCGCAATATTATTTTTGAAGCAAGTTATTAGTGCAGCTTCTTGCAACAAGGCATAGTTTGTACCTACGTTGCCAAATTTCATTACAGGAAGAAATTGCTCCAGTTTTATACAAAAAATCCCCAACCCATTCAAAATGACAAAATGTGTTTGGATAGAATTAAAAAAAAAAAAAAATTCAAGGACATTTGAACGTTAGCTGTCATTATGGTCCAATACACTATTTATTTCTTTGGTATGCATCTCCTGACCTGTATATAAAATTCATAGTTTCAGAAGTGACATGTGCAAGCCTTGGACAACTGGGGAAAAGGCATATTTCCTGACCTTGTAACCATAGCAACCACTTGCTGATTGGTAGCAGGCAGGCGTTCCATCCTTTACCACTGAAGGCAAGTATGTAAGATTGCTGGCTTTGTTTGTGGTTCTTGCTTTATTTACATGCAAACATGAATGCCAGTCTTAAAAACCACTGGCTCTGCAAAAATCTAATGTGGCCAGAATGGGAAAGAAAGATTGGAATGTGTGGGTGTTCTGCAGTAAAATTAACACAAGCATTAATTGGCTGCATCACATCCCATTTAAGCAAATCAGCACGTGTCACCAAGTTAGAAAGACCCGCATAATCTTTCATTGGGTTTCTAGGTTTTAGGTGATCACGAGGCCTCTCATTTTGTTGTTGTTTCCAATTGAAATAAAATCCCCATTTATTTATTTTTAGTTTATGGATAATTAATGAAAATGGCAAGTATATTTTTACTGGCTTTTTTTAAAAAAAGAAATCTACGTAAGCAATGCATGCAGGTGGCCCAGAGACTTAAAATAATAATAATAATACTTCCCCTGGGGTACTGCCACTAAAGTCAATGGGTCTACTCCAGGAAAAACAAGCAAACACATGGCAGAGTTGTGTTCTTGCACTGCTTTATCCTGGGATAAAGATTTTAAATCTTCCCTTCTAAAATCACAAGCTTTCAGTTCAATTAAACCATATGAAATTAGTTGGGTACTCTTAGCAGAATGCAGCTGAATCTTCTATGACTAACAGTCCAACATTCTCCCCCTCCTCACTACCCCCACCTTTCCCCCTTTCCACATATGCATTCCCTATAAAAATGAAAATGGGATTCTATATAATGCAGTGCTGGATGAATAATCTATCCTCCACAGCAGCATAAAGCTCAGCAAGTATGGAGATGCATTTGTATTTACCCCTGTTGTTTATATACAAGATTCATCTCCAGGTCAGGGCTGCCATTAGGGATAGAGCAGCAAAGGGAAGACAATTCTTTGTTCGCGATATAGAATTAGGGGAAAAAAGTCATCCACATTCTGTTCTAAAGTCACACACTTTCTATTATAAAATGTTAATTTATCCCCTTCCAGTGATTGTTTTTACATCGATTGTGGAATCTCCTGTTCAATAAACCAAACACTCTTTTATTTCAAAATTGCTGGTCATGTATATTCACCCACACACCACTTTAACTGACGTGACAATTTTTACTCATATTCAGGCATATTTGTTTCAAAAGGCACTCTTTGTTTTATATAGCATTAGTTAAGCATTGTAAAGAAAGCTGTATGTGAAATTTCTTTTCGAAAGATATGCTATTTCTATTATTATTTTTTAAAAAATCATTTTGCTCTAAAATGAACAATCTGTGAATAGATTTGGATGAAATCTTTACAGCATGCAAAAGAAAGAAAGAAAATGTCCAGGAAACTGCATAACCACTCTGCATTTCTGTATGAAAATATGTATTAAGATGAGGGAGAAAATCTAAAAGAAATGATAAATACAATGTTCATGCTGTGTCCATAGTTATAGACAGCTACTTAGGCTCAGATGGACACATAGGTGAAAGGAAAATAATTATTATATTCTATCTTGGGGAGGGGGACCCAACCATATGACACATATCTACTAAGCCGTTTAGATCCTGATTCTTGTAGCATATAACAGTAAAATGTGTTTATACATTATACTAATACTAATTATACTAATATTACTGATGTGAATAAGCCTTTATATGTCCACTTCAGGCACTAAGCTTTGTTTTGCACACCTGAAATTTTAACCCAGTCTCTATATCCTGCAGTACATTTTAAGTCAATCCATTTAGTAGAACCATCTCTTTTTGAGACCTATTTATACATTCTGAAATGTAGACATACAGTTGCTTTCTTTTAAAAATAAAGGTAATTGTCTAATGTGTTTGATTAGAAACTATCCCAAAGGAGATACAATTAAAAGGCAGCTTTTCTGGGCATAATTCAAGTTCCAAAACATTTTTTAGTAAACGTTTTTGGTTGTATATAATTTTTCTATCTCATACCTGATTCCAAACATCCTAAGAAATGGGGCAATGGGTGGGGGATGGAGGGTAGGAATCTTTTGATGTATTTAGCATAAACTCCCTATACATTAAATGTAGAAATCGCCCCAGTGCTTATCTGCAATCTTTTCTTAATTCAAAAATTTAAAATTGCAGCATTTTGAAAGGACGAGAAGCTAAAGGTTAGTGAAAGATTTTTAAAAAACATAAAGGTTGTACTCTTTGCCTTTACTAGGATGCTACAAAGTTCATTCTCAGCTGTGTGCTGTGTTAAATAATTTTATACACTAAGGTAAAATATAAATTAAATCCAGACTGATTTTTTTTTCTCAGACTAGGCTCTATAGCCTACATAAAAGGCTGCACAATTGTCAGAAATGTTGTCAAGCCAAATGCAAATGTAATATATGTGCATCTTCTGTCATTAAAGAAAGTGTAAAAGATGTGCTGCATTATCCAGTATTTCCTGTAAATAATGCTGATTAATACAAGCCTTTACTAGTTGTTGTTTTTATACCTTGCAAACTAAAGAGAGACACTAATTTTAACAGAAAGCATTGTTTGTATAACCTAGTTATTCAGATATGCTGCTAGGATAAAATTCTTGAAGGGTACAACTAATACTCAGTGTACCAGTGTCCTGAATCTGATTTCCCCCTGCACTCTTTGAATATCTAAGCAAGCTTGTTGTATTGTATTAATATCATAATTCAAAGGGAAATTTATTAAACCCTCCTCCTCCAAGCATTCTCATCAGAGCTAAAAGTTGCAAATTCTAAGTGGCAGAACCTAGACAGTAATATCAAATTTTAATAACAATTTCTCTTCTTCAGTCAGAGCTACAGTGAAGAAAAGCATAAATCGCTGTGACTGACCGTTAGTTGTTAGAGAAGCAATCTGACTTCCCCACACCCTTATTTCAGTTCGCCTGTTCTGTCCCTCAGCTGTATTAATGATAGCATGAAAGGTCACATGATAAACGAGTGACAAAAATATCAAAACATATTAGCCTGTAGCTTTGTTATCAGTGTATGGCAGAGATGACAGAAAATTGTATTTTTTCCCCTGAATAATTTTGCCTTATATTTTGCTGGCTAGGCAGAGTGAATTAGGGAGAAATTTCTGCTTCTGACTGTTTGTCTCCTTTTCTGACATACTTGAAGTAATAATGTGCATTAATAATAGGGTGTATGCACAAGGAAAAGGTAAGAATTCAAAAGCAGACAGTCTGATTCAATTCTACAAGGTGCTATCCTTGTTTTTTTACCCTCTTGCAAAAACAATTTCTGTTGAAAAATATGCACAGTGCTGAATATTATTAATGCTAATAATGATCCAATGTGTACTGTAGTTGGAACAAAATGAATGGTACACATAGAACAGCAATCAGAAAACAACTTTAATGCAGTGAGACAATATTGCATACTTCTATGCTACAAATGCACACACATCCTCTAATTAAATAAAGGCAGACCCATCAGCACTTGATCCAGCCCCTCCTTACGTGGGCCGAATGATTACAAATTAGAGACCGTTATTGCCCCTGCTGGTTTACAGCCCGGCAGAAATTGCAGACCCTGGGGAGATGAGGTTAGCAATGTTGGAAAGAGAAAATAGAAATTTGCAGGAGCCTATCAGTCGCCATGGTAAGTAGCTAAGTCCCAGTTTCTTTTTCCCCTGGCAAAGAGAAGCTCAACCCTTAAGCTCCAGCACATCTGAAGGTGTTGAGTAAAGAACAATTTGAAAAGCTGTGCAGTTGTTCAGATCACAAGTCAACCATGAAAAAAAGGAATAATTGCAAGTTTTACAAACAGAAGCAGCATGCACATGCAAAATTCCCGTTTAGTCGCAACTCATTGGCCATGTTTGAAAGTAAGGCTAAACCATGGTTTGCTTGTATGCCCAAACTTGCTGTCCTGAGCCACAGGCCTGAACCGAAGGCCTGTGTGAGTGATCTGATGCAGGGATACCAAAGAAGGATGCCAAAAATGTCAGAGGATCGGTTCCAGTGCTTTGTTAGAAGAAAATTTAAACTTACAAATGCCTTAAAAAGCCTTGCAGCCTTGACTTGAGTGAACACCGAAACAGCAAGTGTTTGTCATGATTGTCTGCACCGAGGCAATTATATGCATTACTTATACAGAAAACATCATACATCAGTCTGCCCAAAATCTCCCATATCAGTCCACCTAGGACTAATTGACACTGGTGAGTTACAACGTTAAAAATGCGTTGTGAAAATGTAACCAGGGGGCACTGTAGAGCAGCATACTTTCACCAATGGGAAATTGCATTGGGAGCTATGTATTTTTATAGTGTATATAGTGTTTTAAATAGTGTTTTCCAGATCAATGTAGATCCAGCCCTAGTTGATGAAAGAATAGGTGGTTGGCATCCAAGTCTTACGGATAGCTCCCTTCCCTAGGCTAATAGCCAAGCATCCCAATCCAACAAATAATAACAACAAAACAAATTAATAAGCATACATCAAAGCAAGGGGATAAACATATGTGAACGCATTCTTGCATCAAATAACAATTGGTCCTGGGATTATCTTGACTACCAAAATGACATTTACAAGTCTTCCGGAGCATTTTCACCATTTGATTCTACACACTCACCGTGGCCAAATGTTTTGTTTGTGGCCCACAAATCCTATCTATGGTTTGAAGCTGATTTGTGAATCTTGGTTTAGTTATGGTTTGCCATTATGACTGAACCCACTATCCTGACATTATGCTAGTTTGTTTCAGCAGTTCAGCCCAACTGACTACAGAGACACGGGGCACAAGCAGTGAGAAAATGAAACTATTCACATGGCTAAGCAATTCTTATTTGGTGCTTTTCCAGATCTTGCCCTCCCTTCTCCTTCTTGCCTTCCAATAGGCTCTTTTCTCCACCAACCTCCTTCCTGGCAAACTGTCCCTGCTCTGGTATCTCAGACACAAAGGGCCAAATTTTGGATCAAGGTGTCAAGGACTAGGCAGAGCAGGAGTGGTGGAGTCCACTTCCCTATCCTGAGCTTTCCAGGGGGGAGGAAGAGGAAGACAGTATAGATTTACAACAGGGGTTTGAGGGAGGTAGCAGCTCAGAGGCAGATGAGGGGGAAAGCTGGGAAATCATGGGAGAGCCAGAGCAACACCTGACTGACACATTGTCATTAGAAAGCATTCCAGACCCTCTGGAAGCCGCACCTCCCAGAACCTGGCGAGCCTGAAAAGTAGGAGAGCAAAGAGCTCGAAGACAGAGGGCACGTAGCAGCACCCGTAGAATTGACAGATGAGGAAGTAAAAGAGACGGGGGTGGGGTGGAGATTCACTCAGGACAACGCCATTATCCAAGAGGCTGGGTTCTATAGCCTCTCTCTGTAAAGACTGAAATAAAAAAGGATGGTAAGAAACTTTTCTTTGTCTTTATACTGTCCTGGGCAATGGGCTGGGAGCCGCTGACAGCATCCTGACGCAAGGTCTTTGTTGGCTTATAGATCAGCCGGGTGGTGCAAAAGGAACTCTAGAAGATGTTCCACAGTTAGGCAGCATTTAAGTAGCTTTCCATAGAAATGGGCCTGAAGGGGATTCAGTCATTCAATTCAGCAGTGAGAAAATGAACACTTTTTTGGAAAAAAGAATGAATGAACACTCTGTAGTAAAACAGTCAACCATGTTGTTCTGTTATAAACTAGACACCATCCACCTGGAAAAAGAGAGGCATTGGCAGAGGACTTGGTGCCCCAGATCCAGACAAGTATCAGTGTCCAAGACACATGGTTCTGACACCCGTTAGGCAGACCTCCTCACCTGCACTTGGAATATTTGGACACAGAGCTTTGCTAGCAAGGCCATCTTTAACACCAATGCTTATACTGCGGCCATCCTTGGCAGCTCCCCAAGCCAATCTGCCCCTGTGATGTCCCCTCCAGAAGCAGCCTCACCTTCTCCAGGAGAGATTTGCATTCTCTGAGACCACAGGGTCTCCTCCACTCATAGCTGTATAGTTGCGTTCAAAGCCAAATGGGAGCGTGACAATACAAACTGGCCAAATGTGCCAGTAGGCATGCAACCAGCCAACTCACCTGAGGAGTGCTTAGGTGAATCACAGAACCTGGGGCTCTGTGTAAAGAGAATAAGCACATCCCCTTAGTGTACAGCTGGGGACCAGGTTACTAATTTACAGGTCAGAGGTTCTGAAGTAGAAATGAGATAAGAGCTACCTGGGCATACTGGCATGTGGAGACTGGCCAAAATCCTTAAGGAGGAGAGTGTACAGGTTCCTTTGCCCATTTCTGTAACCAGATTATGAGAAGGGAACTGGTCGCTTGGTGAATCCATGGAAGTCTTTGACAACTGCAATGGTTATTTGGGATAAAAGTTTGATATTCATGGGGGCTGGGGTGGACAAACAGACATTCGAACCAATTGTGGATTTTTTTTGCTTGTGTGATAAGAACCTTAGTCCTTTTTTTAAAAAAAAAAAAGTTGTTTTGAATTTTTTCATGATATAATAAAAAGAATGAACTGATCTACAAAGAATTAGAATAAGAGAGAAACTAGAAGAAAAGAGAGAGAAAATTACACAATCCTCCCTCACTGCTATATCTTAACTTTTATCCCATATGGAAAAAGGTGAGCCTGCCCAGCTCTCACCTGGGAGTATCCCTCTCTTCTCATAGCATCTCACCCTGTGAGATCCCCCCTTCCCCACTTCTCATACAGGGTCCTTCAAACTATCCTTCAATTTGAAAAAGAATATCAGGAAGTATGTGTGAAGTCCTATTTTCAGCAAACTATTCACACCAACACCTCAGACAACTTGTAAACTTTACTATAATTCAGAGCCTTTCCAAGTCTTGGTTGTTTTTTTTAATGAATTGTCGAACGAGAGAATCCACCATCTCAGATTTATCCATTCAGCTTTAAATATTCTAATCATGTGGTTTCCTAGACATACTGAGATGTGTCAGCAGGTTGTCAGATATAACCCCAAAATATAGGAAAACTGAGTTGGTTACTGGAGTATGGCTCCTTAAAGCTGTGTTTTAGCTTCTTGTTAGGCTTTAAATGCTGATAGTGAGAGTGATGAAGCAATGTCTACTGCCCAAGTTTTGGTGACTAAGAATCAACTATAAATTCCCAGTACAGCACTCTTCAACTCAGTCGGTTTGTATGAAGCAACACAATGCAGCCCGTTAGTTCTGTTGCCGGCAGCATGGAGAAATGAAGAAAAAATAAGCATGTCATCAACCAATCTTTTGAGAGTCTCATGGCCTCTGTCCCCTGAAAGACTGAAAACCTCTTTTTTAAACTGACATCAAGAAGCACTTAGAGATCTCTGATAACGAAGGTTTGTTTTTCTCAGACTTCTCTCCCTAGACTCAGACCTTGAGACAAGACCATCTGCCCAGGATATCACTTGGGGCCTGAATCCCCTAGATTTCAGAGTCTGTGGGAAAAACTCCCTGGGGAGGATGCTCTGAACCCAGAAAAGATAGCTCAGAGCTTCTCGAGTGTGAATCAAGACAGCCATCACTCCAGGACAATTAATTTCCAGGGGGAAGGGCACATTCCAATCCCATTCAATGGTGGCAAAGTGTGAAACTTCAAGCAACGGTATGTCCCTCAAATTCCTCGAGAGTTTGTTTTAGAAGTGGGATTCCTGCACTTATTGAGCACAGTTGGGAGATATGAAGTCTCAGACTCTTAAATCTGGACCCTGACAGATCAACATCAGCCTTCACTGAAGCTCTCTCAAGTTCTGCAGAACCTCAGTTTGTCCTGCTATTTGCTGCATGATGTCTATAAGAAGTCTCTGGGAGAGATCAGCCAGATTTGGACCAAGGTGTCATCAACATGCAGATGACATTACTCAACTTCTCCAATGACTGATACACAGTGATGGCCTGGGTGAGGGCCACAAAGTTGAAGCTGAATGTTGACAAGACAGAAGTCGTGCAGGTTGGTGGTTCCTAGGGAATTAGGTAAACAGCCTTTTCTGGAGGGCAATGCACCGATTTGCAATCTTGGGATCCTGCTGCATGTCCCAAGTGGCCTCAGCAGCAAAGAGTGCCTTTTTCCAACTCTGGTTGGCTTTCCAGCAAGAGCCATTCCAGGATAGGGATAGCCTTGCCACTAAAATTCATACTCTGGCAACCTCACTACTACTACTACTACTATTATTACTACTACTACTACTACTATATTTATTTACACCCCATTTTTTCCCGTGACGGAATGAAAGGCAGCTTACAAATGAAAACAAGAATTGTTAAAAAAAGATAGAAAAGTCAATCACTGAAATACAATTGAACATAGATAGAAGTAAAACTATATACATAGATAAAATCTGTTTAAAACATATCAGTAATTACAATAAAAGCAGCACAGCACCAACCCTTCAATTAAAAGCAGTCAATTCCCCAAAGCCCATTGAAACAAGGAAGTCATCACCTGTCAGTGGAAGGATAACAAGGAGGAAACTAGCCTAGCTTCTCTAGGGAAGGAGTTCCAGAGTCTGGAAGCAGTCACCAAAAAGGCCCTCTCCCAGGCTCTACCAAATGTACCTGTGAGAGTGGTAGGACCAAGGAGAAAGACCTCTCCCAATGATACCAAAACCTGGGCAGGTTTGTATGAGGGAATACAGTATTTCAGATAGCTTGGAACTAAGCTATGTAGGTTTTCAGAGGTGATAACCAGCACTTTGAATTGTGCCCAGAAACAGACTGGTAGCTGTTCTAGCAAGGGAGTCATATGTTCTCTATAATCAGCCCCAGTCAAGAATCTGGCTGCAGCTCTTTGACCACTTTTCAAAGGCAACCCCACGCAGAGCACATGACAGTAATCCAAACGGGGTGTAACTAAAAAAGATAGCAGGGATTTGCAGATGACTCATCCATGCATTCAGGAATGGTTGAGAAGAAGGTTGCATTTGCTAGGCATGTCCATCAATGATGTGCTGACTGGTTCTGCCCACCTATGGTCATATGTTTAGCAGTAGTGTGGAAGTCTAGCAGCATTTACATTAAAGTATGATGATGTGGGCTCCTCCATATAAGTTAAAATCCTGATTGGCTAGTGTTTCTGCTTGTGTGGAGAAGTCCTGTGTATGATAGATGTGCATTCATAGCTGTCTTTCATATGATCACAAAGTGGCTCTCAGGAGTGTGTCCATAGGATGGACCTGCTTTGCTTGTTGAGTGGGTGAGGAGTCTTGTATAAGGCTACTTCTGCTCAAGCTATGAATAATGGACCTATGGTTTAAAAAACAAACTTGTCGTTATCTCGAGAAACGTTTTATTGATGGGTTGTATTCAACATTGTGTGATAGGATTCCCCCTCAAGCAATGGGACTTCCCCTTCCTCTCCCATCCCTTCCACCCCCTGCATCCCCCCTTATGGGGCCCCTAACCCCTTTGAGCCAATTGGGTGCAAAGGAGGCCACAGGAGCAAAGGGAGGGAGAAGAAGAACTGTTGATGAGTGGAGATCAGTTCCGCTTATACAACAGCAGTGTCAGATGCTATCCACAGTGCATAAGGATTGGCTTTACCCACCATCCAAGGAAGCATTCCCTGTGTGTCTGCTGTGTCTCTGCATCAGGAGGAGACCCATCACACCTAATATAGAAACTCCCTAGTGGAGACTGGGAGAGTGGAGGCAAATTGAGAGCAGGAACTTGTGCTGCGATAAAGTGGGCAGACTATCTGTGGGTGAATGCCACAGAGTTCACAGGAGCCTTTTATTATCTGTTTAAGTTAGCGCTGGAGGAGTGGGCTAAAATGGCACCCTGGAGAGTGGACTAATCTTGGAGATGGGTGAATTCTCAGAACTTTCAGGTGTGAGTGGGCTCACAATCGATGAGGCACTCAGGGGTCCATGTTTCTCTCTTTCTGTCTTTTTAAAAAGAAAATAAAGTTTTGCTGTCATTTTAATATAGTCTGCCCTCAGCAGTTTGGTGGCATTCCCTTCTAATTTGGAACTGACTGCCCCTGCAACAGTGATACATCACCTATTTATTTCATAAAGTTTATACACGACTTGATTGTATAAAAACCCTCAAAACAGTTTACAGAAAGCGAAAACAATAAAATCAAGGAAAGAAATCACAACCATACAAAAGTTAAAATACTAAGTTTAAAATTACCCCAACTTTCTAAGCATCATGGTAGGCTTCTCAAAACAATAATGTTTTTAGCAGGTACCGAAAAGAGCACAATGCAGGCCTTTACTGGTCGTGATGTCATATTATGCTCTTGGGTGCAGTCTGCTTAATTGGAGACATGTGGTAGTTTGTGGGCAGCAGCCAGGACACTGACACAGAGGAGGAAAAGTCAGTTGGGCCAGGAAGACTAGTGGCAAAACTGGTGGAGATTCTGAACAGAAGCCCAGCACTGAGAGAGCCTGTCAACGAGGAGATAGAAAGACCAGAACTCCCAGAGACCATACTTCTTCATGTGCTCCCCAGGCCTGATCCCCTCTACACAAGCCTCACATTCTGCAGTACAAACGTGAGTTGGAATTTGACGGATAGGTGCTGAAGTGCTAGGCTATAGGCTGGAAGCCTGTTTAAGAGTCTTCACTCTTAAGAAGGGAGTTGGGCCTGGAGGGATAGTCTGGTCTAAGAGGGATGAAAGGCTTCAGCTCAGTCACAGACCTTATTGGAGCTAGCTGTCTGTTAGGAGCTATCCAAGGTCCTGAAAATCCAGCCTGATCCTACATGCTATCTGACTGAGCCACCTTCAGGAATCTGTTGTGGCCCCATGTGTTTAGGTCAGCACAAGAGACCAGCTTTTGGGTGCAGATTGTGCATAAACTAAATAATGAGGGCTGGCTTCCAGTTAAAGAAAACAGAAGTATCCTATTTGCTTTTGTCTATTGTTTACGTGCTACCCTTCTATCATATTAGATTTCTGAGCAGTGTGCATGATAAAAACCAATGCAATCAATTAATGCAATCAAATCTGCCTGAATAAATCTCTGAGGTAAAAACAACAACCACACAAATGTGTTCTAGAATACCATGCAAGCATTGCCATGGCAGGCATCCTCTTAAAGGAGACATTGCCCCGTTCTCTCTTTCTCTCACACACATCAATGGCCTTTAAGATGCTATTTGCCTGCGGTCCATAGGAGGGAATGTCAGAGGCCATAGCACAGAATGGTCCTTGCTCTCTGATCTCAGTGGCAGAGCTCCAGTGTCATGCAGGGAAATCAACACTGTAGCCTACCTCCCCACCCCCTGACTCCTCTGACTTAACCAATGTAAGCTCTTAAAATTGGTAGGGCCAAAAGGGGTCTATGAAGGGAAGTGGCTTGGAGCCAATATCTTTCTGGTCCCCTGACGTACTTTCAAATTTCAGAGAAGTTAAGTCATGCTAAATCTCTTCTCCCCATTTCCACCCAATTGCTTCCAATGGGAGGAAAAAACACATAGGAATGCAGGGCATTCCTCTGCTACCCTGGTAGCTTAAGCTCAGTAGAGAGTTGGATAAGGTGGTATAACTGCCTTCATATTTCCCTCATAGACACACACTCAGCATTCATTAAGCAAGTGCCAAAAACAATTCAGAGGAGGCACCTGCCTGATATCCATGGGAAGGAAGTTCCAGAGTGTAAGTCTTGCCACACTGAAGAATCAACTCATGGAAAGTGCAGAACAAATATGTGGCATTTCTAAAAGTGTCGGTTCTGCAGCCTGAAGTGGTCAAGTGGGCATATAATGATTCCTGGCTTCACCAGTGGCAGAGAGGGTGGTCCACAACATCTGACAGCCCCTCAGCTACCCTTTCATGGAGCACAGGATTGGGCCAAGAATACTGCAGCCCAAAATAAATCCTATAAAAGAATGGCAAATGCCACTTTATAACATAGACGCAAGAAGAAAAATATGTTAGGTCTGTACTTGGTGAGTACAAAGTAGCCTTTGAGTACTTGAGTGAGTTTTAGTTATCTGCCACAACGTTATAGCTGAACCATCACGATCATTGTGCCATAGGGAACAGTGATCAAGGCAGAGTGAAAGCACATAATCCTCTCCTGTTGTTTAAAATGTTTCTTAAATCAATATGGAAGAGATTGCCAGCGTTACCATCTCACTGTAATAAACCTCATAGAGTTTCATTCGCATCTGCGTTGTCACCTGTCAGCATTCACTAGTTCAGATTTACCCAAATCTTTTGTGTCCTCCTTTCTCTATAGGTTTTGCCAGTCAAAAAAATAAAAAAATAAAATAACTTCATAGTCATATTTGGCTGGGTTAAAAAAATAACCAAATCTCTATGCGTAGTTAAAGAATATTTATATTTATTAATACAACTAAATAACCACTCTTCTGACCACAAAGAGTCCTGCAGATCGGATGATCTAGTACAGAATCCTCTACGTGCCACATATTTCTAATAGCTTTTTATTATTATGTCAAGGTATCTTTCTTGGATAGTCCCTGCCAATCTATACCCAATAAGTGCAGTTAGGCTCCCCCACCCCACAATGTGCATACATAACTTTACCCTGATTTAAACTCAAGCTAATTTACCACTTTGGAGGGATAATTTTGAAGTGTGCACAGCTTCCTCCTGCAGGTTTTTAAATGCCAGAATAATGTGGTATCACCCACAAATTTGACCTTACTATTCATATACCTGGCCTGTTAGAAAGTTGGAGAACATGGTTTCTATATAGTCCTTCGGGAAAAGATTCTACTCCCCACTAAGTGAGAGACAAGGGGGAGTGCATAGTATGGGTCCTTTATTTGAGGTGTGTGTACTGTTGTTTGATTCTTTGTCAGTATTTGTCCAGGTGTGTCTGGGTCTCATGGCATAGACATGTGGGTGGGTTGTTGAGCAAGGATAAGAGACTGAGCACTGGACAGTGTTATTTGACATTTTGTTTGAATTGTAAGTTTGAGTATGTTGGCTTAAAGTGCTTATATGTTTACGAAAGCCTTGAAAAAGGTCAATATGGAGGTCAAATGGCCGAAATATTGGGAAATTTTGGAACAAGACGGAGATAGACTGAAATTGCAGAGTTTTGAAAAATTAAAAAACAAAGTGCGAGACTGGCTTCATTATTTTCAGATAATGGAGGCATTTAAATTGGACAAGAAAATTGGCTTCCAGGTGGAAAGATCAAAATTAGAAACAGAACTGTTAGAACCCAAAACTAAGAATTTGTCAAGAATGTATAACTTGCTGCTGAAATGGAATACTCAGGATGAAACGGTAAAATTGGCTATGATTAAATGGGCACAGGACGTTGGACATAACATTATGTTTGCTGACTGGGAACAGTTGTGGACCACAGGTATGAAATTTACGGCATGTAATGTCTTAAGAGAGAATATTATGAAAATGATATACAGGTGGTACATAACCCCAGTCAAGCTTGCAAAAATCTATCATTTGCCCGATAACAAATGTTGGAAATGTAAAGAAACTGAAGGTACATTTTTTCACCTTTGGTGGACGTGCCCAAAGATTAAGGCTTTCTGGGAAATGATATATAATGAATTAAAAAAGGTATTTAAATATACCTTCCCTAAGAAACCAGAGGCCTTTCTCCTGGGCATAGTCGGCCAAATGGTGTTAAAAAAGGATAGAACTTTCTTTATGTATGCAACAACAGCAGCAAGAATACTCATCGCAAAGTATTGGAAGACACAAGAACTTCCCACGCTGGAGGAATGGCAGATGAAACTGATGGACTATATGGAACTGGCGGAAATGACTGGCAGAATCCGTGACCAGGGAGAAGAGTTGGTGGAGGAAGACTGGAAGAAATTCAAAGATTATCTTCAGAAACATTGCAAAATTAAAGAATGTTAGAGTGATGTTGGATTGAAAATAAGTGGTTTCCAGCTGTACAGGTTAAAGTTATTGATAGACTAAGATTAAAGATTAGGATTAAAGATGTTTAAGGAAATGGAAATTTGGTACTTAAGAGGTAAAATTTTAATGTTATATTACATTAAGATTAAAGATTAGGATTAAAGAAGTTTAAGTGTTATATATTATATTAAGATTAAAGATTGGGATTAAAAAGTGGAAAAGAAATTGCTGGACAAACAATTTGGACTGGAATACAAAAGAGGGAGGTATGAGGAAGTCCAGAAAATAAGTAAATTCAAAAACGGAAATGGAAAAGTGATATTGTTTTTAATTGTTCTGTTTCTTTTTAGTTTCTTTTGTATTTTGTTTTCTGTGTTTTCCTTTTTTTTTTTTTTTGGATTATGTATTGTGTATTTTTGTACTTCTACTTTTAGGTTTTTCTGTTTAACTTTCTATTGAAACCTTAATAAAAATCATTTTAAAAAAATAAAAATAAAATAAAGTGCTTATATGTTTGAATGATGAAGGGTGGTATATAAATTTAATAAAAACGATCGTCTTGATCATGAAAATGTTGATCATGTAAAGGTGTGCTTGAGTGGAACTGAATGGAATGCACTTTTAGCTGTGTGGGATTGTTGCATTTGTTGTTGTAGAGGGGGCTGGGAATTTAATTGGATTGGTTTGTTTGTTTATTTGTATGATTGATCTGGCAAATGGTGGTTGGAAAGAGTTGATTTTTCTATTGCCTAGTTATCAATCACGTTATTAATAAATGTGGAATTCATCATTTTTAATTGATTTTCCTGTGTAAAAATTTATTTCCTGACGTTTAGAACATATTTTCTTTAGCTGCTTACTATGCCGGACAAAGTGAATTTTCCTTGTTATCTTTGTAGCAGATTTGTTATGTGTAATGTTTATTCTGGTGCTAAAGAGAATGTTCTATTTAGCAGGTTACTTTTTAAAAAATGTCAATGGGTGTATTTTGTATTTGTCTTTTAAGATGTTTTAACCTATGTTATAAAACTCTTAGAAATTTGTTTTTAAAAAAAGCGGTATATAAATTGACTGAAAGAATAAGTAAATCTAGAAAGCAGTGACTGGAGGTGGCAGACCATGAGTAGAAAGTTGTAAAGAAAAGACTTGTATATGTTGCATTTGATGACACCCCAATTCCTAGGACAGCAAGCCCTGAGCAAGTGGCCAGCTGCAAACAACAACAACAAAAAACCCTCCATACCACAGTGGCCTTTCTCTCCTTGTCTCCTTGAGAGACAAGTTTTTCATTTTATTTTCAAAAGTGGCAACCCTGAGTTGGTGCTATCCTTACTGTCTTATTTCTTTCTTCCAGTCATAGGGCATATGCAATGTCAGGCTGAATTTTTCTATCAAATTACATCTTTGACCATGCAGCTTATCAATTCCTCTACTATTTTATGATTTATTAATTTATATGATGCTTTTTATATAGAATTTCAATGTGGTTTTAGAATATTAAAACAAGGAAAAGAACAACGAGAACATACAAAACAGCCAGCAGATAAACTCACAAGTAAAAGTCAGGGAGTTTGAAATATATGGAATACAGCAACGTGGGTTTTGTTTTTATTTATTTTTTAAATCCCTGAGTAAGCAAAAAGGTTTCTGCCTGGTGCCCAAAAGGTAGAAAAGATCACATGACATATCTGAGTGTTCCTGCCAAGGAAGGTTTCTTTGCCACTGAAACAAACCCACATCTCTGACAAAGGGAGATTCTGGAGAAGGGCTGAGGTTCTTTGTGTAAAGGTAGGTTGGAATGGGAGGAGGTGCTTCTTTCAAATACTTGGGTCCCAAACCATTTACGGTTTTGAAAGGAAGAACCAGAAACGGGCGTAGGAGGGGGGTGAGGGGTGACAAAATGGCACACTGCAGGGGGCAACACTTACTGCGGGGCGGAGCCTGCAGTGCACCCAAGCCACGCGTCTCTCCTAGGAATGAGGCGGTGGCTCGGGGCCCTGCACTGCCCGAAACGGCAGTGTGGGGCTTGCGCCTGCCAGGTGGACTCCCCTGCACAAATCAACCCACACCCACAGTTCCAGGTGCTGGAGCAGCTAGCTACGCCCCTGACCAGAAATGGAATGGAAGAGAAGAGAAATTCATTTGGTTCCTATTTGAATAAAAGCCTTGCTAACTTGCAGTTCTCAACCCAGTATGGAAATTCAAATGCAGTTCCCATTTGAAATTTGCACATCTCCAAACATTGCGGTATACTTCCAAATGAATGCACACCCCAAAAAATCAGTATATTAGGCAAAATTGCATACAAAAGAGGCGTACATTAGAATAGTGCGCAAGAAAGGCTATTGAGTTTTCATGCACACTTTAAAAATAAAAATTGAAAACTGATGCAGAAATGGAGCAAAGCGATATGGAGATTGGGGAAATAAGAAGCTCCAAAACACACACACACACACACCCCAACCCCAAAATGGTCCGATTCCTCCACTCCTACCATTAATTAACTGGCCTTTTAAAACAAAACAAAACAAACAAACAAACAAAAAGCAGCAACAGGAAGAACCAAAGAGGCCAGGAATTGAACCCTGAGCTTTCAGCATACAAGTCTGTGCTTAACCCACTGAGCTATAGCCGCTCTCCTCTTGCAAACAAACTTTGGATTAAGGAGCTGGATGTCTGCAGCAGATGACAAGGCTTCCATCTCTTACCTTTTTTAAAAAAGGAATTAATTATGGCTTCTTAACTATTTTCCCTGGGGAATTGCTATCTCTGGTACTATTTCCATGACATAGTCTTCAGCTTTTCAGCCCTGCTCCTCCTCAGATCCAGTCTCTCAAACCCCTCAGATAAAAAGCTGAGGAGAGACATATTCAATGAAAGGTGATGCTGAAAAGAGGCAGTAAGTTTCTACACCCCACTGTCTGCAAACAGATTTGGCACCAGTTGTAGTCCAATTAACTGCAAGAGTTCACAGGTAGCATTACAGAGATGACCATAAGAGACAATTCTATTTACAGTCCTTTATATATGCTTTTAGAGCTCATTTTAGACATCAGCAAAAGCAAACTGAGCCAGGAAGCAGTTGGAAGGAAGAAAATGATACACGATAAAAGCCTCAAGTTCAGCATAAACTATGCCTTCCACACTCCACAAGCCACAGGTGCTTGGGATTATTAGGGTATTCACAATTTACTTAATAAGAGGTGAACTGCATAGATTTTACAAAAAGTTTTGTTCAGCAAGCGCATTCCCAGCTTATTGTGTATAATGACAGTGAGAAATGTATCACTTTGGACAAAGACACCGACAAACTCAAATGGTGCACATTTGAGAAGAGCCTTTCACATGCTGTCCCCATTGATGATTTCTGAGATATTTAGGGTATCTACTGGGTTATTTTTTCCCCTCCTTTTGTGGGAATTTGGGGCAGTTCTAGGACTTTCTCCTTTGAAGTGAATGAGTGCTCTGAAAGGACATGGGGCAAAGTAGAAGCTACTGGTTTTTAAAAGCCACTCCATACATTCTGCAAGATGAGCTGAAGTGACCTGTATCCCTTCAGGCAACAGGTTTAAGAGAGATTTGATTTTTAAATCTTTCCCTCTTTGAAAAGGCTTCCTGGCTATCAAACTAGTGCTGATTTCTGTTCCTGTTTCTTTTTTGTAATTATGGGTTTTAAATCATATTTGAAGTATTTATAATGTATTTTATTCATTCGTTTATTTTATTATTTTCGTTTCTCACTACTTCCTTAACAGCACTAGAAGCATACATTTATATTGAAAGTGTACACTATGAATTACTTATTAGTCAAGAAAATTATTATGTGGTGTGTAGCTGTTCTCAGCTAAGAATGGGACTTCATTCCTTGGTGAAGCATTCACCTGATGCCCATTTTCACTTGCGCTATAGAGCGTTTCCGTATCAGTGCAGCTACACTGCTATGCCGTTCAACCGCAGCACAGTGCGAACTTTTCATTTTGCAAATGGAAGGGAATTCTGACTTCAGCACTGAATAGCTTACAAATCAAAATGTGTAGCCATAAAACAAAAAATAAATGGAGGCAAGGAGCCATCTTTCGCAGCCCACTGTTAAGTGTAGAAATATCTTATTCTGTCAATGTGATTTCATAGCAGGATGAAAAATGTCAAAAATGAGGATGACAAATCAGTCTAGTGAGGAAACATGACTCTCAGACGAGAGATGTCATTTGTCATGATTGCCATGTGACTGCACTTCCCTCTGTCTTCTCTCTTAGATGAATGTTATTTTTGCTGTTAATTTAAAAATTATCTCAAATCAGCGATGGGCCAGAGAAGAAAAACACGAGCGCTATCACAACTGCTGCTGCTGAAAAGTTTTGCAGAGTCTTTTGGACATGATTTGGGAAAGTTTCCACATCATGAAAGGGGTTGCCGTCATTGTGAATTGTGAACTCATCACATATTTCATGGCATCTGTTCTGAAGTGCGACCCCCACCCCAAACTTAGGTAAGTGTGTGGCTTTTGTTCAGAACGGACACAGCTGAGCCCAGCTCTCAGAGCCACTGCATAATACGGGTGGTAATTAAGCCACAGCTTCAAGGTTGCATGGGCACAAGACAATTCAGCCTAATGAAGTATCGATTGGCTCCAGTCGAGGTAAAACAAGTTGACATTCATTTAGAGGTAGCAATGTGAATATACCACATTGCCACCAAAGAAAGAAGGTGGTGATCAGGGGGAGGGGGCAGGAGCAACAAGGCTGAATTTTAATCTTGCAAACACAATTAAGAATCTTATTTACAGCATGTTGCCATCATTTAAACCAACGCTAATTGCATACTTAGAACCCTGACGTAAGATTCTTAAATCAGCTGAAACTACAGATTGTTAAAAAGCACAAGAGATTCAATGTTTCAATTAGAAACCATGCTTAAAAAAACAAAACTACTTAGAATTGCATTTCCTAATTAGGAGTTTATTTTGAGGTGACATCTTCAACCTCAGTGCAGTGTTAACTTTTTACAACCATGCTTTCACTATTACGATGTAGTAAGAACTTCTATAACTTGCTGACTGTGTAGGAACTTTCTTCAACTTTTCATTGCTCCTCCCCACAATTTCCAATACTTTGCACACACACACACACACACACAAAATCACGACAAAAATAACTGAAATGGATATGCTGGTGCTTAATAATATAAATGCATAA